CAACTATGACCTACATGGCTCATAACTCACAAAACTTTGTTCAACTCCAACCTCAATTGGATATGTATAATATTGCAGCTCACTTTTATGACATATGTGACCAGCTACGGTCTATATAACCTACAACTCATGTAGCTCTCAACTCCATCCTCTTTGGCCTATGGATATTATCACAACTCTTTACTATGACCTATGTGACTAACTACGACCTATATGACTTACCACTCACACACCTCTCAATTCCAACATCTACGACTGTAGATGTTATTATGGCTCTACGTTATGACTTATATGACCAACTACGATCTATGTGTCTTACACAGTTTATACAGCTTCCAACTCGGACCTCTGCATTCTACAAATGTTATATTACGACTCCCTGCTAGAAGCTACCAACTTTGGCCTCTATGGCCTATATACATTATTACAACTCACCACTACAGCTTTTGTGGTTCACAGCTCATGCAGCTCCTAACTCTATCCTCTGTAGTTTATGGATGTCCTTACAACTCCTCACTGCGGCCTTCTGTGACTAACTACAACATACATGACTCAAAACTCAAGCAGCACCCAACTCCTTCGCCTGTGTGGTCTACGGTTGTTATTACAGTTCGCAATTATGACATACATGACGGACTACGATATGCGTGGCTCACAGCTTTTGCACCTTCTAACTCCAATCTCTATGGTTTACGAGTGTTATTACAACTCATTACTATGACCTTTATGATTAATTATGGCCTACGTGACTCAAAATTCATGTAGCTCCCAATTCTAGCCTATATGGTCTATGCAGCTCCCTATTATGGCCGATGAGGCCAATCAACGCTCATGAAACTACCGCCTATGGCGTACATGACAAACTAATATCATGGGTTTCAACAAAGACCTCCACGACAATCTTACGCTACAGGCATCATCTACAACATCCACAGCGAACTACTGCATCTATAACAATCGATTACGACCTTCATTACCCATTACAACTATTATTATTAAACTACTATTGTACATCAACTTTGTAATTCCATCTTCTTTAATTCAAAAGAAAGTGAGTCTATGTTCTTACAAACACTTAGTGAATTGCTCCAACTCGGTTAGACCCCGTGATTTTTGCTCTTTACAGGATTTTCCACATAAAAAAAACATAATGTTTTCTCCCATTTTTTTCTTTTATTCGTGTGTCTGTTGGACCTATTACTATGCTAAGACGTTAATTTATTACTCTATCGTTGCAGATCTTTCATCACACAACAGTGACAAAAATAAATCTTGAATTGCATTCGAAACCCTCTTGATGTTTTCATATGAAGGCGATCATCCATCCAATAAAAATAGTGAAATCCAAAGTTTTATTTGATGCACCCATTTCATTAGACCACGATAGTCCTACATCACAATCATAAGTATTCCAACGTATAAACAAAGACAATTGAAAATTTGCTTAAATATTCGCATGACTTCTATTTACTAGTGAACAATGTGAACAACAATTTTTCATTTAGAACATGTTCACACAATTATTTTATAATGCCATAAAATAGATTGCTAAACAACTACCATTAGAGGTATGACTTTGCTAGAGCTTCACATAATTAATAAAATAGACTATACCTAATATTGAGAACTTGGGAAAGTTGACCATTGATGGAGCCATACTTATATTTTTTTAGTAGATAATTACATATAAATCATTTCAAAATATTGATATTTATAAATTAACAATTTAGCTGGTTTTTTTGATGCATGCCACAATCAAACTATTAAGAATTTATGAAAATTGAAAAATATGGGTTGTGGTTTTACAATTTTGAAATTTGAGTGAGTTCTTGATAAATGGATGAAAGAGGGTAGTTTTGTAATTAGCAAATTTTTTAGTGGTCTGCATGTAATTGCCCCATTTTTTTAATGCGTTTTGATTGGTATCAAAGATGGCGTCATCAATTGTTGATTCGATTGTACCCTAAAGTTCTCAAATTCAATGCATAATTTAGAAAAATTATGAAGGCTGAGGCAATTAGGGGTGAAAATTAGGCTCAGCTCGTGTTCGGCTCGTTTATATTTCGAGCTCAAAAAGTGTGTTCGTGTTCTGCTCATTTGCTTAGCGAGCCGAACACGAGTCGTTCACGAACAAAAAGTCGTTTTGACAACTCTAATTAGGTAACCATAAGATGTTAATGATTGGGGCAAGATTTAAAAATTATTATTTATATTAAAACATCATTTGAATCTAATTTAATAATTTTTATTCTATTTTTTTAATCAATACTTATAAGTGATTGTAAATTTTTATAGCCTTGTAGTCAATTAAGGTTTTAAAAAATACTACTCATCATATATCACATATATACATATATATAATTGATTAGTAGTATTTCGAGCCAAAATGAGCCGAACACGAACAAACAAATATTTCTTTGTGTTGTTCCTATTCGGCTCGTTATCTTAGTAAACGAGCCAAGCACGAGCTTCTTAGTGAGCCGAATACAAGCTGTTCGCGAACAACAAGCCATTTTGACAGCCCTAAAAGTAATTCATGATTGAGTAAAAGAAAGAGAAAAAAGGGGTCCATTTTTCTAAATTTTCACCATAATATCACAATGCATGATAAAACCCGAGCTCATATATAAATACACTCAAAATGTATGTAAATTTGAAGTTTTTGTGCTACATATGTAAACACATAGGAATTGGGTGGTATGTATGTAAATCTTCAATTTCAATTATTTAATTCATAGTAAAACTACATGATCGCTAGTTTTATGTATGTAATTATTCTAAAAGATGCAGTGGAATTATAAAATTAGTTTTAGGCGCATTTACTATGTATAACATAATTCTTATGCATTTTCATATTTAACACCTAAATATTCATATTTAAATGCATATCATTTAAATTTTTAATATTATAATAAAAATATCATCATTATTATCTTTTTTTTTTTAATAAAAATATACTTTTACATGCATAATTTATGACATCATTGTCTGATTAATATAAATATTAAACTTTGGGTGTGAATTTAAATGCATAAAATTTGTGTGGTATTTATGTAAATTTCTCTTTATTTTAATATAATAGTGTGCGATCTCCACCGCCGCAATAAAAAAAATTTTGAAAGTGAGGCCCACTGAAATATAACTTTACGGTGATCGACAGTGGAGATCGGACACCGCATATCACACTGCTATGGGTGTAAACGAACTGAACACGAACGAACAAAACTTGTGTTCGTCTTCGTTTCGTTTGAAATTTAGTTTTTTTGAAATAAGCTCGTGTTTGAAATTGTTCGTGAAGTCACTGTCGTGTTTGTTTCTTAACGAACGAGCCGAACACGAGCTATTTGTGAGTCAATTCCTAAACCCTAATATTAATATATATAAATAATATATTATATTAATTATATAACTTATATTATATAAATTTATAATATCTATATTAGTATATTACTTATATATTATATTAATATATTATTATTATTATTAATTTATTATATATTATAATTTATAAAATTTAATTTTTTAAAATATCATAAATTTTTTTTATATAATTATTTTAAATTATTTTATAACGATTCAAACGCGAACGAACACATTACTATTCGTGTTTGGTTCATTTAACTAACCGAACGAAATAAATTTATTCACATTCGACTCGTTTATTTATCGAATGAATCGAATACGAACACATTGACAAATTGAACACGAATTGTTCGAGCTTTTTTTACAGCCCTGATCACTGCATGCGGTGGCGTCCGTATAGAATAATTTTTCTAGAAATATGGCCCTACCCCATGAGTGCCGTGTAAGAAACATCAATCAATTCCGAGGAAATGAAATCAGAGGTGGAAAGGCGGCGAAAATTTTGCCAAAACAAATAGATAGCGAAAGATCCGAGCCGTTGAATGTGGAATACTACCATAATTTTATTACGCGTTATTTGCTCATAGTTATTATGCTTTTCAGAATTTTCCCCATGAAATTAATTAAATGATCATGATGCAGATATCATGTAACATCATAAATAACAATTGACTAAAATACTATAAGGTAATGTTGTTCTTTTTATAGCGATTCGTTTGCTTCGGACTGACTCAACTACTTCAAAAGATGGGCTTAGTTTGACCATTTCGACAAATTGACTTAACTCGACCACTTTGACAGATGGGCTTAGTTCGACATATTGCCTAGTCCTTAAATACAATACTAAATTTATTAATATTAATGTTCAAAAACTAAGATCTTCATTCATATTATTTTGTTAATGATATAAAAAATAATAATTGTATTACATCAAGATAAATTTAACTAAATAAAAAATAATTTTATTTTATTTTAATTAACTTGTATAAGTTTAAATTTTATTAAAAAAATTAAATTCATTAACTTATGACGTGTTATTTAAATTATATACTCTTAACAAGAGAAACATAAATCTTTGTAATCTTTAACATGTATAAATAAAAGGGGTATTTACATGCATACCCAGAACTTTACTTAAGACATTCACATTTGCATGCATATCACACAATATTTAATAGCATAGCATAAAAAATATCACTATTTTTATTTATTTTTTAAAGTAAAAGATACATTTATGAATTATTACACCAATATGTTATAAATGTAAATATCAAATTATGGGTGTTAGATATATAAATACATAAGAATTATGTGGTATGAATGTAAAATTTTAGAGAACAAAATTATATACAGCTAACAATTATTGGATTAGTTTATGTATTTAGCATAATTTATATACTAATTAGTTCATTCCAAATTATTACATCAGCTAATATAAAATGATGTTCTAAATAGCAATCTCAGTATATTATGATATATCAAATATGTTTTATTTTCAATAAAAAATATAAATAAAGTAAAATAAAATCAAAACAAAAATATATATATAAAAAAAAAGAGATCCCAAAAAGCCCTTTAAATTTCAAACACCTTCAGGCAGAAAAATAGGGGCATTAACATACATACCACTCAATTTCTATGTATTTACATATCTAACAGTTAAATTAGTTTTTTTTGTTTACATTTCTACCACCCAAGTTTTACATATCGCATAAGAACACATCACTATTTAAACCTTTAAAAGTTGAAATACACCTTTTTTCATTCAAAGAATGATTTGAGATATAATTGGAAATGTGGTTATCTACAGAGTTTAGTGCAGCAGCTGCAGCTGCACTAAATATACATTATTTCTAATATAAACTATATTTTCATGTGACAATGATAATGAATAGGATGAGGTGTATAAATCTGCAGAAATCCAAAACCATTCTGTAGCCATTTTTAAGCTTTAAGTACCTCTTTAATGCTTCCATGGGGTTATTGAAACTGCTTTAGAAGCATCCAGATGATTCAAGCGGCAGGTCCCCAGCAGGAACTCTGGCAGCTCCTCTTCAGTATTACCCTGTCAAAATGTTTTATTATAAATAAATAAATAAATAAATAAGAGCTTATGGTAAAGTAATTCAATATTTCTAAATTATTTTCTGAAACATATTTCAGTCTCCAAGCAATCATTGTATCTTCCTTTAGTTAAATTTCTGAAGGGGCAGCTTGTGCTTATCCAGATAAGCCGCTTATCTGGAAATGTGAACCGTAGGGTTCGACCTGTGTTCCGCGTTTAGTGTAAAAAAATCAACTGCGTTTTCGGATAAACTGCTCGATCGCAGTTTCCAAACTGTGAGCCGTTTTGAAAACGTTGTCAAAGCGGATAAGCTGCCCCAAACGGAGCCCTAGTAAAAAAGAGTGGCATTTACATACATATCATGCAATTCTTATGTATTTAAATATCAAACACCTAAATATTCATATTTAAATACATACCACTCAAATTTTTATCTTTGCATAAAAAAATACTATCTTTTTAAAAATGAAATGTACCTTTTCATGCATGAGTTTATGACACCGAGGTGTTATAAGCGTAAATATGAAACTTTGGGAGTAAGATATGTAAATACATAAGAATTGTGTGGTATGAATGTAAATTTCCCTAAGAAGCATCTGAAACAAATGCAGAATAAACAGAATATACGTAATGAATTAAATTTATGAAGCATTGAGCACATAGAGTTATAGTTGCAACTTACTTGTATTAGGAATGCCATCTCTATGACAAGATTGGTCAGGTAACCGAGAACAAGACTAACTACGCCGCGGGCTACTGTTGATGAACCAATATCAATGCAAATCTGAAAAACAACATTAATTCAAGACACCGGTCACGAAGTATAAGATTTCATTAGTAATTAAGAGAAAAGATCACATGGGTTTATGGATGGCATGCGCATAAGCTAAATTAGAAAAGGATGATTTAGTTACATACCCCTCAATTCCTATGTATTTATATATCCAACACCAAAACATCAATTTCTAGCACCTTACTAATGCGTGAGAAGGTGCATTTCTCACATTTTAAAAATTAAAATAGTGTTATTTTTATGTGATATGAAAGATGTGGGTGATATAAATGAAAAAAGTGAAGTTTAGATTATGTAGTTGATCAATTGAATCATGAATTGGGTGTGAAAGATTTTTGAAACCAACAGGAATTATGTTGAAGGAATTAAGATTTTCTCTACTCATTTTCCTTAGAAAATAAAAAGCAAGCTGCTGTCTCAGCCCTATGTTCAGAAAATCTATAATAAAGTTTGTGATTATATGTGTGTTTGCACATTAAAGTATTTTTTTAAAGAACTTTTCTTTAATAATATATCAGAATAGCATTCTTGTAGTTTTTAAAATATCATCAACTTGAATTAAAATGAGATTATGACCATTCCAAAACAACTTACATGATTAAAATTGAAACCCTCCTTATTTGCCTCAATTATATTATACCTATTTTTCTCCTTCCTACCCAGTCCACTGAACAAATAACTTCATTTGTATCTTTGACTGTATACAAATCACGAAGTTTGTATCTTCAGATTTATTAAAGACATTTACAAAACTTTTAGATTCCTTATCCTTGCTGTACTTTCACAATGTTTGCTCACAAAATCACCTATCTTTTTACTTATTTATAATATAATTTTAGGCTCTCCAGAAACTTTTTTACTTCATACTTCATACTCCAATAGTCGATTATTACAGTATAATTAAGAGGATATTAAGAGGATAGAAGCTTTGGAAAAATTATTACAAATTATCAACTTCTTAAACATTTGCATGCATGGATGTGAGGTCGCATTCATATGAGCATATTTGTGCACTCTACGCCAATTTAGCATAAAACCTTCAAAACTTCATATCCACACCTTTCCTTCGCTATCACCCGCCTTCTGTGACTACCGTCATCCCTCCTAATCATTCCTATCCAAAAGTCGATCTGTCATTTTGGGGCGGTGTACCACGCCTATGCTGGTGAATCTTCCCAAAGTAACATATGATCGGTTCAATCGAGCATGCAGTGATAGTAATTGGACCCTTCCCGCACAATGGTGGGGTTGTTGGTACGACGTTGACTAGACATAACCTCAACCGAATCTGTCCTGTTCTGGGGCGAGTGTCTCGATTCACTCATCTGGCATTATCACTAAAACTGGCTTTACTGAGGCTACACCCGTTATCACTAATTTCTCTACTATTTATATCGACACTATGTTTTTGCTGTTGTTGTCGTCGATGATGAGACTGCATAAATTTTTATTTACTGTGCAACGGGTGTAGAATATATTGTGGCGAAGCCACTATGAATACCTAGTGTCCTCAATCTGTAAGATTTGTTGAATCACAAGCGTCTCTCCTTCATCTGGGGGAAGTTGATACACATCACCCTATTCCTCGACTTTCTCTTCATCTCTTATCTCTTCCACGACGCCCTGATCAGTAAGTTAGACTACTCTACTCGTGGGGCAGCTAGAGGCTATGTGGTCGTAACTGTGTACTTGAAACATTTCCTGGCTGGCATAGTGTTGGAGGCGCTACCTTTCTCCTACTTCTTCCAGCTCTGATTCAAGTTGTCTTTCTCGTGTCTGGGCTTGCTAGTCTCTCTCAGAATGCCCTTGTCGATTGTGGTAAATGTAGGTGAATGTTTGCTTGGAGGTTGCTACGTGGAGGATGACTATCGCCGACTCTGCTTTTGTTGCCATTCTACCTTCAAGACCAATGTATAGACATCCCCTAGCGTCCAGTATGGCTACAACTGTACGAAATTGCAGATGGTGGGTTTCAGACCCCGAGATATCTATCTATCGTATGTTCCTGTGGCTCCGTCGGCTCGCATTTCATCTGCAAGTGATCGATTTGGGCAGTGAACTTTTCAACTGAAAAATCCATCTGCTGCAAGTTGTGGAGTTTTAGAAACACATCCAGACGATAGTAAGATAGGATGTATTTTTTCTGCATTACTTTCTTCGTCTTCTCCCATCTAGCGATCTTTTCACTGCCTTCCCTCTTCCTCTTCCTCTGCACATTTTCCCACCATAAAGAAGTGCTCTTCTTCAACTTCATGGCGACTAACTTGACCAATTTGTCTTCTGGGACATCTTCATATTTGAAAATCCGTTCAACAGATTACAGCCAGTCGATAAACTCATCGGAATCCATACCTCATTCAAATTCTGGAAGGTTCATCTTGATGTCAAAGCCCCGCTGACCTCCACAAGGAATCTCTTCTATCCACCACCTATGATATTGGATAAAAAATCGGCGTAATCGATATTCCTCAACACTGTGATCTTTTATGTGGAACCGATTCATTTCCTCGTCCTTGTCCTCCCTTTGACTTTCTCGATCACGGACGCAAGTAACCTCTTCTTGGGTTCCATCATCCAATTCTGCTGGTCTCAATTGTAGACTACGATTACTCATCGAAACTTTTCTCGGGTCGAGCCCGGTGTACCTCTTCGTGGTGGCATGACTAAAGTTGGGAATTGGAAGAAAAAAATTGACTGAAGTAAATTGGCCATGGACAGATGCTGGGGAACCCTAAGATAGGACTAGGGTTGAGCTAGCTCTGATATTAAATGATACTGGAACTAACAAGGAAAATAGTGGAAACACAAAAACAAGCTTTCCCAACTTTACAGCATGGCTCAAACAGAAATAATAACACAAGACATAAAACAACACAAAAAACACTCCTAAATATAACCCATTGGGTGATGGTCGGCTAGAGAGATAGGAATGATTAGGAGAGATGACAGCATTCACGGAAGGTGGGTGATTGTGAAGGAAATGTGCGGAACTATACGGATAACATGTGGGAAGGGATAGGAATAATTAGGATGGATGACAGCAGTCACGGAAGGTGGGTGGTTGTAAAGGAAATATGCGGAACTATACAAACAACATGTGGGAAGGGTTATCTACAGAAAGGGGGATGGTTGGGTGTCGGCGTGATAGAGAGAGAGTCGGCGACAAAGGAGTGGGGGAGGAGAAGATTCGGTGAAGATAGAAAAGAATGATACAATCACCACCTCGAAGAGAATACAGCCGAAGCACGATCATTTCTCAGATACAACCCACAAACAGGAGATCTGAAGCTAAACACACCAAGGCCTGACTCTTCACACACCATGGACAGCTATTTATAGCCTCCGAAGAAACGTCTACACAAAAGAGGCGAAAATGATCCAGAAACGCCTTCCCAAATTCCTACAGGCATTTCCCTCCCCTCGGTTCGCGAAGGATTGCGGTCGTCTACAGTACCGGCAAAGAGTCGCGGGCCTCCTGTCCAGCAGAAACAAGCGCCCGCAATGAGCCGCTAGTGCAGTGCGCGCCTCATTTATAGTTCCATGGTTAACTCTTCAACAATTTAGTATTGAATTTATAACTTCATAGTCGGCTCTTCATCAATTTAGTATTAAAGAATATTCTTGCTATTCTCACACCAGTATCATAATTTTTTTGCTGCTTTGCCCTAAATTACAATAATTTCTAGCACTATTCATCACCTCTCACAAAGAAAAATTCAACTTTCCAAGCAAAATCCCTCTCAATAATGTCGATCCCACTCTCCCCTTGTGAACAAAGAATAAAAATCCCAAATCCTTATGGCTTCTACATCTCCATATGCCCCACATTTTTTCTCTTCCATCCATTTCCTCAATTCCCTTAAATCATCCTCGAAATTTCAAATTTATAAACCAGTTCATCCTCTAAAATCTCTCAATCATCTGCTAAAATTTCTGAACAAACCCTTCAAAAAAAATTTCCATTAAATACAAATCCTTGACCACATCATAAAATCTCTCTACTAAATTACACACCTAATTCTATTTAAATTTATCCTCACCATATTGTAAATTAGTCTCTCCCTATTCCTCCCTCCTCAATGCAAGCCAAGCACCTTCTAGTTTCTACTAAACAAAAGGTTTGCTTGTAAAAAGGTAAGTACAGAAAGAAAAATAAAAAAGAATAAAAGAAAGAAGAGAGATAAAATAAAATAAAATAAAAAAAGAAAACATTCTTTGATCTTTAATATTGTTGATATTTCTCTAAGGATCTATTTTGCCCCTGAACATTGCCAGAAAACTAGAATTTGGCCATACTCAACGATAAAGTGTAATTTAGGTTAGTTAGAGAGTGTTTCTATTTTTTTCTCAATGTATTGATTAGTAACAACTAAAAAATGCTAAAATATAAAGATTTCATCTACTTCCAAGAAATTATAGACCTTTTATGATAAATAAATTTTTGGTCCTACAAATAATCTACCACTCTTACTCTCTAAATGAGAATTTTTTCGCCCCATGGGACAAAAATTGATGCAGTAACATTTCTAGCATTTTATTGATAATGATCAATGCAAATAAGATTTCTTTATGTATTTATCTTTTAGAGTTATTAGGAATTAGCCTATTTTCATATTATTTCTTATGCAATGACTATTATTATGACATAAACTGTAGTGTTAATCAGCCTTTCAGTTGTGAAGCTATTTCTATAAATAGTACCATATTCTCTACTAAATAAATTAATCTCAAAGAGTATGATGAAAATTCCTGCAGCTCATATTTTAGCTGCCTACTTTCTACTTTGAGGATTGAACAATTCAAATAGTTAGAGAATTCAATATCACCCTAATTATATGTTTTGACCCGCATCACATAAAAATCCTAGCAAATCCATTAGTTTTATATTCTTCTTTTGAGGATATCTCATTGCAGAAGACACTTTCCTTCAATGTAGCTTTCGACACGAGTAAGCCTAATGATCAGGCTTTCGACTTCACTCTTAATGCACTTTTTTTTTTTTTTTTTTTCTGCTTTGATAAAATTCGATAACAGATAGGTAATATATACTCATACAATTCTATTTATTTTAAATAATTTCATATAAAATCTAAGACTTTCTTGTCCAAGCTTTCTTTGGATCTTTTCCAACCCTTCCATAGCCCAAATCAATGCATAAGATCATTACTCAACAAACATGCACAATCTAAACTTCTAACGGCATTAAGCATCTTATGAAATAAAAATATTTTCTTACCTCCAAGTAATTTTTACCACCAAAATAATTTACATCCAATGCTTGACCAATCAAGCATGCTTTTTTTCCCACGCTTTGCTTCACTATCCAAGATCCCTATAAGCACAATAGATAAGAAACAGACCATATGTTAAATAAAAGATTAACCAAAAAAAACAAAACAAAACAAAACAAAACAAAAAAAAGGATATATTTACACCTTTGATATATATGGGATGAGCTTAAACCTTGAATGCCTAAAAGCATCATCCCCTTTAACAAAGCGCTCGAGAAGTGGCACCCTTTCAATAGGGATATCAATCATATAATACAAAGCAAGAGAGTATGTTATTGAACCTGGAACCTGCATGCAAATTTCATAAGAGAAAATAACAAATACAAGAGATAATATTGCACAATTAGGCACCTATTAAGGCGAGAGATGAACATCAATGCACCTGAATGTTGACAATGATAAAAAATTCATTGCCACCTTGATCAGCGTATTTCTGCAAAAACCAAAATTCAACTTAACTTGCAAGTCTTAACACTTTTGGCAAGGAAGAATATATTAGCATGTTGAGCAGGATATACCTGCACAATGCCCCCAGGTCTGCCACCAAGATCATCTTCACGCTTATCAGATTTTAGCCAATCGGCAGCTACCATTTGCATCAAGGAACCATTGGCTTTCACCTTTGGATATAACAGTAAATAATAAAAATATCAATATATTTTCCAAAGTAAAATGACATTCGCTAACCAATCATTTATTTGAATTGCTCAATGCTTGGTATTTAACCTCTAAATTTTAACTGTTAAGGTTTGTTATTTTTGCAGAAATCAAGATAATAATCAAAAGATAATTTTGTGTTGAGGGAACTACACTATAGAAACAAACCAAGAGAAGAAAAAAAATCAGAGATTTGGATGCAGCAGCAATATAAATATTACCTTATGACGATCAATAAGGTAGCTTTCACTACGAATCAAAAATGTTGAAGGATCCGTCTCTGCCCAACTACATAAGGCAGTAAAGGTAGCATCCTTCTTGAGAGTAGTCCCATAACAGCATGGTATTGTATCTCCTATTAAGGCGTCTTGTAAATCAATATAGCCTTTCTTTTGAACTACAGAAGTAAGAAAAAATATTTAATTCAATTAAATTAAAAAAGAAAACTTAACCGGTACATTGAAATTGAGTAATAATATATTAACAAATCAAGACACGCTCACCTGCAAGATCATGCAACCTTTTTACAAAGCCTGCCGCTGTTGACAACTTAGGCTGGCGTTGTTCCTGCAGCAATAAGCACAAGGACATGAAAAACATTTTCTTTTCAGATAATATAAACAGTAGTAAGATTTAAAGCAGTATAATTATTTTTAATCTGTTTTCATTGGTTAAAAATAGAATGACAAGAATAAAGCCACATGTACATGGCAAGTATAAGAAATTTGCCAGACAAAGTTCAAGAAAGAAAAAAGATTTACAAAGATCATCACATACATTCATCTCTTTGCAACGTTGCAATGTTGATGCAATGCAGGATTCAAAAAGGTCAAATCATTCCATTAAAGTCCAAGAAGCCATAGATAAATTACAAAAAGTCAAATCAAATCCTAATATTAGTGAAACGAGCTTATTTCTTAATCCCATTTATATTTATGGTCGATATTCCCTTTAATATTTAAATTATCCTGCTTATTGCTAATATGATCTTAAACTCATTGTAAATATATTTGATTTTCTAAAGGAAGAAAATTAAATATTTTGTAAAAACATCTGCTAATAACAACTTCAAGTGAATACATTAGCGATCATTTAGACATCATGTCAAATTGATTTTTATACTCTATCTTTACTATTTGAATGTATGATACTCATTCCAAAGAATATGACCATTTTGCACCCCCAAAGAAAAAGAAAAAATAAAAGATTATGAAGCAAATCACCCATACTCTGTTTGGTAATGATAAAAGAGTCTAACTTTTAAAAATGAATTTGGGCAAAAAATCAAGAGGCCATAAAGACTGAAAAAGCCACATCTATTAAGATAGACCAACTGAAATACCACAAAATCATACACTTAGCACTATAGCTGATTCTAGAAATCCTAACAAACAATTTAAGGATTTGGACCCGCCTACCCTACCTTGGCCAAGAGGCCAATTTTTACTTCAATGTCGTGCTCAACATTCCTCACCAAAACTATCCTCGCAATGGGCATGATCAATATAGGCTTCCCCCTCTTTGAGCACCTAATATCAATTAAACAATATCATCATAATTCAACGCAAAGGATCAAGGTTAATGGTTTGAAGGTTCTGATACTTGTATAAATTGGGAGTCTGAAATGGAAGACTTTCTACTTTGCATAAGATGATGACATGAAGTGTGCCAAATTTGTCAAGAAAAAGTTGTCAAAGTCAACTAAACGATATTGAAAAGCATGATATTGACTTACAAGGAGTTGTCCCCATCTCTCACTGTTTGGGTTGAGATGAAAGAAATTTAAGGCAGGAGAATTTGCCACTATGCCATAAGAAACATCTTACTGGGGCCCTCTTGAATTACAAAGCAGGCTGTCAATCAATTTTTAAATAACTTCATTAGTTTTGGGAACAAATAACAAGAAATGAGATATTCGAAGATTAATGGTTTTGGATTACCAAATTCATCAATGGACTTTATCTTGACAAAAAATTAGAAGTTTATAAATTCGATCTTGACAATATGGAAGATGCCTACCACAAAGCTACATGGTTCAAAAAAATATTGTTGGCTTCCATTACAGTCATTTATTCTACAGACTAGTTCTAATAGCTGATCAATCACTTCCACTTGGATTGGAAACTCTAGATTACATCCTAAGTAAACCATTAATCAAGAACATTCGAATGGAAAAGGCTTGGTTTCCAATTCTCAATATACACAACAACAAGAAAATGGGTCAACATGTCGCTAATCACTTCAAGTGTTGCCAGAAGGGTCGAGACATCAAATGATGCCCTCGATTAATCTTTTAATGAATCAAGAGAATCAGATTAAAATGAATTAGAAGAAAGTCAATTTGAAAATATGGTTGATGATGAGCCTCTTACATATGAGGAAGCTCAGTATTCAATGAAAACTCTGTTGTGAGATAAACTTTCATGCCCCTTTAATGTCTAAAATTGGAAACAAATTAGTATCATCTTAGTTTTGTCATTTTGAATAAAAACTACCATTATAAATTGTTCCAAAGTGAAGTAATTCCGATGAAAAGGACAGATATTTTGAGTTATGGTTCAATTAGACTTCATCCCCATATGAATGCGTGCATAGTCTCATGTTTTCCACTTCGAGGATTTAACACCATGCCTTGAATATTTAGCAACCTGATTTTTTGAGATATCAACAACAACAACATTTTGCTTCAAATAAATTTCTTTTCCATTGCCTTTTCTCTTTTTCTCCAAAATCATTAGTTTTCAACAATTCATCTAACTAACCTACATCAAAAGGTAAATTGATCAATTCCATTTCAAGCAGACCGAAATAGGAATATTCAGTCCTTACTAATAGTTCACTTTGATAAGTTTGACTCTGATTTGTAAGTCATGTCATTACTCCAAGTGTTGGACTAGAGGTTGTAACATTCAAAATTGGACAGTTGTTAGATGCCAAACTTAGTGTTGACAGTAGCTTAGATACTTGTATATGTTTTCAACTTATTCTTAGTTTCATGTAGTTTAGGTCGCATTTTAACTCAAAATTCTTTTGGAGATTTCTTTGAACAAAAATAGAAAAAAAAACGAATTTCAACAATGGAAATTGGTCTTTCAAGCTATATTTTCTCTGGCTAAAATAAACAAACAAAAATATATCGTATACAGTTAAATGTTCACATATATGAATTGATTATCCAATTAAAGTTTAAGCCTAACAACCAAAAAATAAAGAAACATAATTCTTTATCTCCTAAACTATGAAGTCGGTTTGAAGGACTACATCCTAAAAAGAAAGTTCTCAAGTAATAGGAAAAAAATATTTAAAAATATAAGCAGGCTTTATATAATAGGCTATGATGAATTTCCAGTAACCATTACTGCTCTGACAATACACGTCAAAGACAAGATTAAATTCAGATAAAGTTTTGCCTACAGTTAACCAAAAACAGAAAATTCAATTCTAGAGGGATAAGGTCAGAGTTCACCATACCAGATATAAAAAGATGCAAAGAATAATAGATCTGAAAATTTTAATATTTAACTAACTATTATCGATTGGAAATTCCAATTTAAAATATAAATATGCAAAAAGCTTTAACCAAATAAAAAGGTGAAGTCAAGCTTGCCTCAGATAACCACGTGGCTTCCGGCTGATCATACTCTGATTCATCCAGAACATCAAAGAATTCATCTGCAGCGTCATTTAGTTGAATGACTGATCCACTCACGGTTGGAGTTGAAGGAGATTGAATAGTCTCTCCAGAGATCCCTCCATTGTTGCAATTTCCACCTCCAGACAGCACTTCTACCTTAATTTCTTCTTGTACAGCATGCGGCATGGTTGCAATCCTAGTTAGTTCGCCTGATGAGAAATCAGAGCATTGGTGGTTTCCAGTTTTCGCTCGAAACAATTCCCTCAAAGCTGAAATAAATCAATAAATTGTGCAAATCAGTTATGCAATAAGAAATGAATTTATTTAGGGATAGATAAGTGAAGATCTATCACCTGCAATTCTTCCAAGCATCCGAATTGTAATGCTTTTCGCCGAAGAGCTAAATAGATAAGACTTCCAAAACTTCCAATCAATTGCAAGCATGTGCTTAACAACAGATTGCTTTCCTCGATTTATTGGGGATATTACATATCCTCCACCTATAGAAAGATAAGCAATTGGCATAATTGCATTATACCCCATCCATTTTATGAATCAGCAAGGCATCATAGCATGACTAAGAAGCATCAACAGCTATATCCTAAGCATACATTACTTTTAAGGCAGGCTCTAATATAGCCTCTTTGCGGCGGACATTTTTGGTGGAACACAGAGTGGTATAAAATAACTGTTAAAAAAAAATTAATGTATTAGTACATATAATATGTCCCACAAGCAAATATGAAGTTATAACATCGATTCTAGAAAGAAATTTCCAAATAATTTACCATAAGTTCCGTCTTCTTCCCTCCTCCAATAACGCCTTAATAGCAGGTCCCTTTTTTTCATTCCCCTGAAATAAAACAAAAGCCATTACGACAAATAAATATAGAAGAAAATTGTAGTTTTTATTAATAAGCTGAGAGTGAAATAAATTTGTTAGGATATCTATCTGACCAAGGCAACCAATCACACTTTAGTACTTCGTGGATAATATCATTATGCCCATCCAAATATTCAACAACACTGCCTTTGGAAAAGCAGAAGTCCCATCTGCAAAAAGAAAGCTATACTTATAGAACAGGGGCATTCTGTTAATAAAAAAAAAATGCAAGTGAAATTTAATTTTCTCTCTCTCTAATTTTCCGTACCAATGAAAATGTATCAACTCCCAAACCCTTTCTATGTAGCAAATGATGCCAAAATTTCACTATTTCACCATCAATCAAGCTAACCTAGATATCCAAACTATCAAATATGATATATTTCTGTCATTATTTCAAGAAAACCCATTTACTTCCAATGCTGATTTAAAGACATGCTGGAGAACAAACAAGCTTAAAATAATGCACATAGAACCGTTCTTACTCTGATCTTGATGGACCAAGAGAAAAAAGTGTCTGAAAAATATCCTCAGATGGTGCATCAACAACACCTACTGCCATTATGGCTGGGTGATCATCCCAATACTAAGAAAAAAAGCATATTCAGTACCGATTCATGCGCTTCATAGGCTGTCTTATAGTGATCAAATTAACACGATACCTTCTCATAAAAGTCACTATCCTTAGCCTCCTTAAAAAGCCGAAGACCTAAATAAAATGTGCATAAAACTTATATGGAACTTGAACAATCAAAGAAAAAAGAGCAATATGAAAAAATAGTACCATTGTTACATCCAAAAATAGTCCATGGAGAAGGTGCGATAACATCAGACGTCATTAAATCTGAGTGGATGGATGAGAAGGAGGTCCAATCTAGCAGCAAGATTATGATAACAATTTCAGTATGCAAAAAATAATTATAATAATAAAAAAAATAAAATACGAGCAAACTTCTGTACTGCTGAAGTACTATTCTCTGAGATCCAAAGCTTTCATCAATAAGGTACAAGGGCAATGTCTCCTTAATACACAAATGCATAAAAATAAAAAACAAACAAGCATGAGCAAATGCGTGAAATTACGTAGCAGTCTTGAAAACCAATAAAATGTAAAACACAAATATGGCTACCAAAAATAAATCACTCAAAAATGCTCAAAATCGGTGAAATTTGAATACTTATACTCATTAGAAATGTAATATATAAGCATTGGGAAGACTGACATTTTGAGTTTTGGCAATGATATTTGCTGTTATATAGTAATTTCCTAGTTTACTTTGTTGTAAGACATGCCTACTATGATGATCCATTCAAAATGGGATGTGTTCCAAAATTATGTGATTACTTTGTTAAGGTTGGTTTAGTGATGTATTTCTATTCACCATCTAATCAACTTGTCTAATATGTCTTTCTCCACTGTTTCAACACACCTATAGTTTGCTATTTCTAGCTATAGCAAGAAAATCCACTATTTTTCCTTTGTTGATTTCAATTTCTAGCTATAGTAGCTATGGCACTAACTTCCTAACTGATTTATAGGTTCTCGCCACAAAAATTTGTCAAGTGATACTGCTGTGAGACGGTTCAAAATTAGAATTTCTAATGCAACTAATATTATGGTTAGCATGGACACGTGAAAGAATATTAATGATTCACATATTACAAACCATCAAATAATTCAAACACTTGTTTTATATTAATTTTCTTTCATCAAAATTGATTTGTGATTGGTTTGTGTGATTATATTTCTTAAGTTTGATACACACTGATTTGCATTTTCATGGTGTGAATCATTAAATTTTATATTTGTTCTTAAATTTTTATAGAAACTTAGTTTAAAATTGCCTAATACAAGCTGTGCCGGAGAACTTTTTACGGAAAAATCATAACAAGGCTTACATCTCATTTTCTTAACATGAGGCGTATGGCATTCAATAATTTTTTTAACAAATACTACAAAATAAATAAATAAATAAAATTATATATATATCCCACCTATTAATCCTCATGTCTCATCTACTAGAGAACACGACATAAACAAAGATGTATCCTTAGAAATTTTAGTTAAAGTTTAGCCATCAAGGCGGATATTATTTTAAATTTTAATTAAGATTTTTAATGAGTCTTATTAGTTAAGAAAGAGGAAGACGTCTGAGATTGAAAACGAAGAATGGAAGAACATTGATAGAACTGAAGATAAAGTGGGGAGAAAGCAATTCTTGTTGTCGATAATTCTAATGAAGATTGATCAAGTGATGAGAGTAATGAGAACCTTTGCATTTAAAAATTCTTATATTGATGTTTGTTATATTCTTAATTAAGATAGAGCAATATCAGCGGAAAAAAGAGACTTATATTGGTTATGTTATTATACTTTAGAATTTTGCTTTGATATCACAACTTATCTTTAATAACTTGATGCTTGAATCACCTATCTTATTTCATGATTGGATATTAATATATTATTTCTTATTTTGAGTAATTTGTTATGTCATACTTTGCTAGCATGTTGATGTGTTACTTTTTAAAGTGTTAATACGTTAGGATATTGATATGCTAGTTTTTAATAAGTTAATATGTTAGAATATTAATATATTACTTCTTAGTTCACACATTGAAATTTATATAATACTTTTTTCTTTACATATTTTTTTTTATATAAGGCTCAAAGTCTTAAATGTTAAAATGCTTAGAGACTTGCACCTCACCTCAAGGACCAAAAACGCCTCAATAGCCAATTGCACAATTTTAAACTTAGTATGATCAACTTCTAAACTATAATTTGGAGGTAATTTAATATGCTTTCTGATTGCACTAAATGATACTAATCGTTGCCTAAATTAAAAGTCAGAAAATAATACATGTTTTTTGTTTGAATGTTTCTTTGAACATGTCATCTTAGGTTTGTATCAAAATGATTTTAAACCCTAAACATCTTACTTAGATTAACTCAACTCAAGATTGTTATATCATAATTATTAGGGTTGTTAGCATAAATATGAAACTTCTTTATTTGGTAAAGCTTTAGATATAATTATCCAGAATAAGCATTTGTTGCATCGTCAATAATAAGCCTAATTATAAAAGATAACATATAAATATATCGGGAAATTTACATACCTGACACAATGTTATGTATTTACATATCTCACACCTAAACTTTCATATTTACATATGTAGCACTTTCTTGCTTTAAACCTATGCATAAAAGGTGTAATTCACTTTTAAATAGTAGTAATAGTGCTATTTTTATGTGACATTACATATTTGAGTGCTATGTGTAAATATGAAAGTTTAGGTGTGAGAAATGCAAATACATAAGATTTGTGTGCCTTGTATGAAAATGCCCCAAATATATTTTGTTGGTTTTTTAAGGGGGGGGAGGAAAGAGATTAAGGAGCTGGGAAGATCCATAATACTAAGAGTTATGCACAACTTGTAAGGTTGGGATGACTTTGTTAAAGATCCTTCTCTCATGATTTATACTTGGTTCACTTCTCGGTATTATACATAAGTGTTGTTGAGGTTTTATCTATTAGTATTAAGGAATTATGTCCTTGTTATGTGACCCAGATCGCCAACCATATAGGCCCCACAGGTTCAACTTATGGAAGCTATTGGAGGGAGTTTCTTATTTCAACTTTTTCATTTTTGTTATTTTCTTATTATGGAGTATTTCTTTCCTTCGTCGTTTGTTTTGTATTTGGTAAGCTGTAATAATCTTAATTATGTCTGCCCCCTACCTACCTTCATGATATCAGAGAACCAAGCTTGGTTTTGATGAGATCCTTCGTTTGTCTGCATCGATCGGTGTTGTTGAATGCTTCGACTGGATCGTTTGTCCGCTCAACTGGGTCATTGAACTTTGAATACACGTAGTTTGTCATCTTGCCTACTTAGGACAAAGGAGACAATTTCGTCGGCCCCTTCCACGCAAGTAAATTTTGTCGGCCTCATTGGTTGTTATCGGCTTGGGTGCCTCTGCTACATCGTTCGATGGTCTTGTTTCCTGCAGGCCCTCAACTGCTCACTCCTATAACCGTTGGTGCCTCTCCAATAGCTATCCAGTAGTTGGAATCCCTCCAAACAACCTACTTGCTCCTTATCATAGTCGTCGAACTCCTCCTAAAGCAAGCCAACTCCCTTATTCAACCTTAAGCGTGTATAGGGGTTATGACCAAAGACTTCTAGTTCTACTTCAGAGGTTAATTTTGAATCAGAGACTATGAATTCCGTCCAAATAACCCATAAACTTTTTCCTTTTATCACAAACCATAAACTCAATTGTCATAACTTTATTCAGTGGTCGTAATCCGTATTTATGTACATTTGCGGAAAAGGAAAAGAGGAACATCTAACAGCATAGGGGACATTTCCTGAGCTCATTCATGTAACAGTAGCTCATGGAAGACCCGAAAACATATGAAAATGTTTTGGTTGATCAATTCTATTACAACAGAAGTTTGAAAACATTTCTTGCATTACATGACAACACATTGATAACAACCCGTGAGACTTATTCTAATACTGAAAAAAATGCAGAATTGTTTGAGATTGAGATAAAACTGCATGAACTATGATAAAAAGAGTCGAGTGTTACCCAATACTTCAACACACCATCAAGATACTGGTTATAGTCAGATATGTATGATACATATGTATGGAAGTGCCCACAAGATGCTATGATGTATAAAACACTAGTGGGAAAGAAGTTGATGATCAAGTTCTTATTGAGTCAAAATAAGAACTTAGAAAAGGTCAGAGGGAGAATCGTAGGGATGAAGCCTCTCCCTGTAATTAGGGAAGCCTTTATTGAAATTAAAAGAGAAGAAAGTAGGAAATAACTCATGATAACAGGAAGTGTGGATTCATCTAGCACTGAAAGCTCAGCCTTGTACACACAACTCTCACGATTCAAAGCAAAAGAAAAATCATCCTTTATGTGAATATTATAAAAAATTTGGTCATATAAAGGACAAGTGTTAGAAACTACATGGAAAACATGTAGACTGGGAAAGAAAAACCAAGACAGCAAGACCCATGTTGATGCCTCTTTTGAATAGTTTGTTGACCCTAGTAAAGCTATGAATTTATGGATATCTCAGACTTTTACTGACTTGATTTCAAGAAGCTCTTTTTAAATGTTGCCACAAAGCAATTTCTCACCACCATTTTTGGCATCTTCTCATATAACTAACAAAAAAAAAAATGCAAATGTAGCTGTTCATATAGAAAATCAAGAGAAAATTTGAATCAAACTACCTTAAATGCATGTATCCATCATGTATCCTAAATATGATTGATTATGTTCAATTTCCAATACCGTTATATATTGAGGCCATCAGAAGATGTGCTTTAATTTGGATAATGGTAGCAAACTGCACCGATGAGTGTGGAGAGCAAGATGGATTAACTCCATTTGTGAGTTCATGAACCTATAATAATGATGTTTTAGTTGTACTTTCTTAGTTAGCATATGCATGTTTTGTTTCTTGAGTGTAGGGATGATTTGACTATGATTGCTAATTCTGGATATTGAGACCAAGATTGGTAAGCAATCAAACATGATAGAGTTGATTCTATGTAATTTCATGGTGGGAATGTATTTCTAATGTGAGCTCATTTACCTATCCCAAGCTTTCTTGTTACTTAGAGTTGTATGGTTATGCTAAATAGAGTCATCATATAGTAATAATGACAGCAACAATGGTTTTTTTTTTTAGCATATTAAACCTTAATGGGTTTCATTTGTAGGTGCATGCCATTTTAGCATCTTGTCGATAGATTTGTTATCTAGACTTTATATTTGAAAGATGTAGCAATGTATCTTTAATGCAAGTCAATTATTCTTTTTTTCACACACACCCAAATGCACGCACACCACATATGTAAGGCCTTAAACTCGAGATCTTTTGGTTTAAAGACAAAGCTGCTCTCATCCACCAAGTCAAGGTGGCTTGAAATAACCAATGCATGTTAATTAATAGTGAAGATGCAGCAAAAAAGCAACTTGGGAACTTGTCATTGGCCTTAGTTGTTCAAGGTGGAATATTTCATACTAATTTGTAGTGACACGAGGCTCGGCATAAAGACCAACCGGTCCTCAAGGAAGGGGGGCCGCCGCCCCCCCTTCCTCTTCCCTCCCTTCCTTTTTCCCTCTTCTCTTTTTTCTTTCCTTTCCTTCTTTTCTTACTTTCCTCCCTAAGCCCTTTCTTATTTAAACAATTTCCTAAATTTTGATATCTAATTTTATTCTCATTTCTTATTTTAAAAAAGTTTTTCCTAAAATCTAAAATCTTATTTTATTCTATTTCTTATTTTAAGTGTTCCTAAAATAAGTCAAGTCTCTTTATAAATAGGAGGTAATGTGCTTATTGTTAGGGGTTTTATTGTAGATATCTGAATTCAGGCTCTAGTCTTAATATTTTTCCTTTGAGAGTTGTATCCAATGTCGAGAAAGTGTTTCGGTTGTCCCTCGTTCAAGGTGGTGATCGTCTCCACAGGTCCCGGTGGTTGGTTGGGATCCGTTGATTCTCAAACTTGATCTGTGCTCTGGTTGTAGCTCGACCCGCAAAGATATTTATCTATCATTCCACCCTTTTCACTGCTCTCAACCTACCTCCCAGCGAGCGCATATTCTGTCAGGACTCCTAACGTAGAGAATCATTCAGAATCCAATGAAATCACGCCACGTGGCGTTGACAAAATAAAAATAAAAAACGACCCAGTAACACGGGAATATTCCCCCCTGTGTTATTCTGTATTATTCAGGTGTTATTGTGTTTTGGGAATATTCCCGGTGTTATAATAACAAAATAACACATTTATAACACTTGAATAACACACAATAACACCTGAATAACACGGGAGGAATATTCCCTTGTGCTATAGGGCAGATTTTATTTTTTTTTCTGTCACCGTCACGTGGCGTGATTTCATTGGACTCCGAATGGTTTTCTACGTTAGGAGTCCTGACAGAATAATTTTTCAAGACCCAGCAGGCCTCTACCTTGTTGACATCCAGCAGGACTCCACTCTCGTTGTTCTCCTTCGCGTCGACATCCTTCCAGCGCACCATCTAGCTCTTCCAACAGTCATACGATTTTTTTCCAGTAGTCGCCTACCACCAGTAGGCCACCACCTTGCTACCCTCCAACAGGACTCCTCTACCGTCGCTGTCCTTCGCATCGACATCCTTCCAGCGCACCATCCAGCTCCGGAGCAGCCACACGGTTCTGTCCAGCAATCGTCTGACTCTTCCCAGCAATCACCTGTCACCCAGCAGACCACCTAATACCGGAGGTTACCCAAACAACAACAAAAATACAAATATTATTTCTGAATTTCAAACATATTACAAACATGATACAGAAAAAATAGTAAATAAATGATAAACAAACAAAACAACACAAACAATAAAGCCATCCGTGGGGGGCGACGAGGACGGAGACAGCTGGATAGTTGTTGGTGGTTGAGGAAAGAAGGTTGCGGCTGTAGAGAGGTGACAAGAGGGATGGGCAGGCGCTGGAATAGCAAGACATCTTGGGGTGGAAGTCCAAACAGCAGTAGGTTGTTGTTTGGGGCTACTGCATAGCAAGAAAACAACAAAGCGAAGTCGTGTGCTGCAAAAACAAAGACGAGGGAGGATAAGGCGATGGGGGCGGCAGAAACTACTAAAAACAGTAGATCCTAGCTGTTTTGGGCAGTGGCAGCAAGGGTAGAGGCTTGAAACTGTTGGAATACAACAATCCCTTGTTGTTCTGGATGAAGTCAGCAAGATTAGAAGATGGGAAGCGATGTGGGAAGCACGGGGAATGGTAGAGAAAGGATAATCACCATCTCAGGAGAGAGATACAGCCGGAGCACCACTCAATCCCTAGGATATAGCCTTTGAAGAAGGAAAAAACTCTAAGATAAACCTTATTTTAAATATCAAAACAATGCCCCTCGCTCTAAGCACATCATCCCCTATTTATAAAAAGGCTAAATTATTTTAGGTAACGAAAATAAGAAAGGAGAATAAAATATAATCAATTTTTCAGATTTTAGAAAAGTATTTAAAATAAGAAAGGATTTAAAGTAAGAAAGAAAAAAATATATGATCGGGATTTCATATTTTTAGGAAAAGATTTAAAATAAGGAAAATAAAATATCATCAGAATTTCAGTTTTTAGGAAATGATTTAAAATAGGAAAGTGCTAGGAAGGAAGGAAAGAAACGAAAGGGGGGGAAATGAGAGGAAAGAGAGGAAAAGGAGAGGAGGGAATAGAAAGGAGGAAAAGGAAGGGAAGGGGAAGCATGGACAGCAGGCCCACCTCCATAGTGACAGAACCTAGATCCCATTGAAGAATTTTCATCCCCCTCAAGCTCCTAAAACACATTTCAAAGCTGAGGTTCATCTCTCATGTCTGGTCATCCGACGAGGGGTACCAAGCGGAACAAGAAATAACATCTGAATAACTCCACGTGATATTCCTGACATGGCCCAAAATGAATCCTCTTCAGATATGTCGGATCTTTCTCTGTATGGGTGATTCATGATGGAGTTTAAATCTGAAATATATGCATTTCCCTTATCTGTGGTGACCATGTATGTGATGTCGGTACCACAAACTCATAGCCCTTGTAGACATCCAAGGTTGGTCATGTCAATGTTTCTCTCAAAGTCTACAAAATGCTGGCTTGAGGCACATTAATCTCAGGTTCTGATGGGTTGCCTATTACCTCAGAGTTACTAGTTACTACCTTCTAAAGCAGCATTTGTTACCTCAACTGAAATCTCTATCTTGGGGCCAACTGGATTTAATGGGGTCTTGTCGGCGTTTAAAAAGGGGGGAGTTGCGTTTG